TACTGAGCCAGTGAGCCACTGCATTGACAATTTGACTTCTGCTACAAACTAAAATTACAACAATGCAATCGAACGTTTGAGCTGCTCAACTTTTAAGCTGATGACAGACAGACGACGGACAGTATGGGAGACCAACAGATAAGAGTTCTATGCAGCTGCAGCTATTCGTCGTATTTTAACACACACACACACACACTCAAATATTCTATATACTCGCTTGCCAACAAATGCGTTTGCTTAGCTTTGATTTAGTTGTTGCTCCATTGCACTTTTTCTGTGGCAAATCTGCGATATTCTTTAACAGCTTCGAGTTGGTTGATTTGAGTTTAGTTGGCACTCTCTTTTTTTTCTTAGCAAATTTTATTTTTATTGACAGATTTTACGTAGTTTTTTCTTTTACTTTTTGCCATCGTTGGCTTTCTCGCATCTAAGATTGGCAAAATTTTATGCAAATTGTCTTGTTGAAATTTATGTGGTGCCAAATATGCACAGCGCATAATCGGAATGAATTGTTAAGCAAGTGCAGTAAGGCGACGAAGAGTGTTTGGAACAAAAAAATTTAGGGATAAATGTAAAAAAGTGTTGCATTTCCAAAGGCCTTGAGGGCGCATTTGTAGCGAGGAATTCCAACTACTATGTGACTTAAAAAAAAAAAATAAAAGAAAAATTAACGAGTATTTATGAGTGAGTATAAAACTCTTAACACTTATTAAAAATACAAAAAAAAAAATTTAAATTTTTATTTGATATATATTTTTTTTGATATGCACAAAATATTTGCGCCTATATCTTTTTCTAAAATTAATAGGTTATTTGAAAACCGGATTCGTAAATTTCGGTCAAATTCTTCGGAAGTTTATCGCTAACATAAATTTTTTTTTATCTATACAGCCCCATTCTGCTTGTTACCGTACATTTTGTAGCCGAGAAATTTTGTTCCCGAAAATTGTCACCACTTCTGGTAATCGCAATTCTCCCTACCTTGGAAACATTTTAATTTATTCAGCTCTAAAGTTTCGTGGAAATTCTGGTATGGCACATTTCATTTTGTTACTTGCTTATGAGATGGTAAAAAAATTGACCGGTTAAAAACGTGCGCAGAATGCGAAAAAGGTTTAAAAATTTAGAAGAACTCTATTTACTGATAGAAAAATTTTTTATTACCAGCGCAGAATAGGCCTGATAGGGTTGCAAAAGGTGCTCTAAGCCGCACGCCACGCCATCTTTCTATTTCTCGGAAGTTCGTGGCGAAAAGGAAAAAGCTAAAGCATATACATTAGGGAAATCCTTAAAAAGGCAACATCAATTTTGTTCTAATTAAATCATTAATGAAAATGGTAAAAACATTTTTAGCAGTCCCTACCAGGGTTTGGCAAAATTTATTTATTTTAAATCGCAAAATCTTGACTTTGAGCAGATACTTATAACTCAGCGATTTTATGAATATATATGAATAAATTTCCATAATATTTCATACCAGATTTCAAGCCGAAGTAGTGTCGCGCTTTTTTGTGATTTTAAAAAAGAATTTAATTTTTTTCAAACCCTGTAGCAGCCCTAAAAAGGTGTCCTAGACCACCCGCCCACTCCCTATAAAATGGAGGCAAATGAGGAATGCTCGATCTTTTGGTGGCATTACCGACTTGCCGTTTCGACAACGATTTTCGGGTTAAACGGACCAGGAGTTCCTTTTTTTAAAGTAGACATACATACATGGACGTTTTTGTTTTTTTTTTTGCAATGGACTTCCGGATAAAATAATGCGCTTCCGATCTTTTTAACCCACTTCTGGTCGTAAACGAAAGTCGGTAGTAATTCATATCCTTTCGTTTTCCAATAAAAATATGTTCACTAATTTCAGCAGTCCAGCATGAGTTAAAGTTCGAAGGCCATTTAGAGGTTGAAAAAGGCACTTCCGAGAAAAAAGTTTCTTACAAAAGTTACGTATTTTTATCCTTAGCGTACAAATCTGAATTAAAAACATGTATGTCTAATTAAAAAAAAATTACTTCAGGTCAGTTTAACGCACTTTCGGTCGAAACCGGAAGTCGGTAATACCAAGAAAAGATAGAGCATCCCTGATTTGGTAGATCATATGCATAGTTATGTAATTGACGTCAGCAGTCTTTCTGAGTTAATCAAGTATAATTTTCTAGACTTGCTCTCAATATGCGCTAGTTTTTGTTATCCCTCCGCGGCTGTATGTACATATGTACCTATGCATTTACTACCTCCAACCAACCATTTCTTTCCCAGGCAATTATGATTTATAAGTTTTTAACCAATTTCTTTTCTTTTGTTTATCTTGTTTTTTTTTTTTACTCTACAACAAAAATTATAACTACTCTAGCCACAATTACTGCAACTCAGGAATTTTTCAGATTTCCTACGTACACACAAATGTAATTACCAGTTGAACACTTGTGTGCGGCCGCACTCGGACACACAATTTTCCATTTTCCTCGCTGCTGCCGCAATTAGTGTAGCAAGCAAAAAAATACATATGTACATATAAAAATCCGAGAAAACACCTATAAGACGACCTCATTGCTGGTACATGCAATAGCAGACTCTTGGCGGTGTGTGTGCTGCATTATGAAAACAAATAGAATACGCAAGAATTTACCTGCTTTACCGGCGTAGAAAAGGAAAAAAAAGTAAAACAGGAAAGTATCAGCTTTGGAAAATTTCCTTTCTTTATTTCTGCGCGCTGCAATATTGTGTTATGGGCAGTCACACCAAACTATAGAGAACTTAATAAAGGCACAACAACAATGGGGTCGCACCAGTGTTGCCAGATCTACAGTTTTAACTGTAAATTACCATTTGTAGGCTACCTTACAGCTTTTTTTTTTTTAAATACCTTCTATTAAAAATTACATATTTTTTAATTTCAATATCAATCAATAAACTAAAATTTCTCTTAAGTTTTTTTTTTTTGTAATTTTTTAGATAAAAAATGACACTAAAGGAGCAATGTTTCCCCTTTTGAAACAAATAAGTTCAGTTGCGCTTTGCATTGCAGTCGCCACAGCAAATGTGGAAGAAATGTGGAGAAATTCAGTAAAAGTAATTGAAATTTGATTTAAATCGTTCAGTGAATGTAATCTTTTCTTGTACAACTTTTAAGTTATTTTATTTTAAATGATTTGTCTTTTGTTATTTAGATACGTTTAGTAAAATGAAAAACCCCTAATTTTTCAAAAGCTCTCCTCGTTTTTGCAAGTTACAGTTTTTTGGTCGAAAGCGAGCTTTTTCGGGAATTTACAGTTTTTCGAAAAAAAACCCCTGGCAACATTCGGTCGCACCTACTTGCTTACTGCTTGCCGCTCTCATATTGCCTTTCACTGCTTGCTGAGCCTCGTAGTTTGCTCACCCGCTTATCTTTTTTTGCTGGTAATTTAATATTTCTTTGGACTGCATTTATCTCGCAAGCAATGCAACAACACCGGCTTCATGCGCTTCGCTCTTTATAGGCCATACTTAATGACTCATTGGCCAACTTTTATTTACCTTATTGACCTACTCGCTTGCCCATAACATTGTTGATGGTTCGGAATATGTATTTTCGTAGGACCCTGCTCTACCCTCTTGCTTTTCCTTACCTTCTCCCTCTCAAAGCATGCCGCCTGCATTGGCGCATTATCGTCGCCACTTTCAGCAGCCTGCTGTTATAGCTAGGCGTGGTTGTTAGTGCCGGAACTCTATTGTTTATTTTTATCATTTGATGTTTGCTGTTTGGGGAACGCAGAAAGCAAGCGAATGAAAAATCCCAGCAATCAATAGACTCGTCCCCGATAAGGAAGCCGGCGTGAGGAAAATAATAGTTAAATGTTTGTTCAATGTATGTATATGTATATGTGTGTGAGCAAAGCATATCTATCTGTGCCAGTCAAACACAGACAGAATTGGAAAATCACCTGCTTTGGCGCGGCATTCAGCGGCTTCCTCTCACACAGCTCGGTTTGTCTTTTTGCACTCTACTCCTTCATTTTACTTTGGATTGGCTCGGCTTTCCTTTGCCCTCGCTATTCCAAGCGCCTTGCTTTGCTCCAGCGGCCCTCTGCTCTCACTCCACACCATTCCATTAAGCGGCACTTCTTTTGTTCGCTCTAAATGAAGTGAAATGTTAGATTTGCGCGCTTGTCAATATTTGCTCTAAGTTATTGTCGTTTCGCGCTGAAGCGAGTGAACAAATGTGCGAGATATCCAAAGCAAATGTACCAGCAGGTACCAGATAAAGTAAATAACGCGGCTCATTCATTGTCTGCAAATATCTGAGCATTTGGTGTGTCAAAAGAATTTCGATTGCTTTCTTTCCCTAGCCATAACGCTATCTTCTTTGTCTGTTTATTTTTTATTGTTAATTGGAAATTTTCGATTTTCCAACCGAATTCTTAGCCAAACCAAAAAGCGGGCGATATCGCCTTTAGAAACATATTTCATGGTAATTTCCTGTCATTAAGCCGAAAAATGAGAGCAACACAGCTTCTCTAGCTTTCATATTTGTTTGGTAGCTATTGAAATTGGATTATACATATTTACTGATTGCGGGTGATTGAAAAGTTTGAAGCTGAAAATTGTTTGTGAGCTGGCTGGTTAATGGAGAAAATTTAAATAGGAGTTAAAATCCTTCAGCAGCAGCGTTGTTCCGCTGCTTACTTCGTAATTTGAATGAATTTGGGAATGAAGAAAAGGGGCTGCGAGTTTCCCAGCAACTCGAATCTTGAATACGTTATTTCCCAGATCGTTTGAGAAGTGCAAATATGTGATTTTTTGGCGAGCGAAGGAAATCAGAAAAATTTCCAATAACTAGGCATATAATGGTGCATACTTTAAGGCGTATTATTTACTGATTTATTAGCAATGCGAATTCAAATATAAGAAAACATATAAAAACCTCACCTAAATAATGTTCTAGTAAAAATAAAATTTGTTAGGCCGACAACAAACTATGAACAAAACATTTACGCTCTCGTTCTTCTTCCATCTACTTACAGGCCTCGCCGTCGTTCTGGCTCCAGCATTGTTGTTATCGATGGTGACGATTTGAAGCCATGCTTACCGGACGACTATATTAGTGGTCAGCATTATCGGCAACATTCTGGTGATAGCAAAGAAATCGATCAGGAAATGTTGACAATGCTTTCAGTTAATCAAGATAATGGTGAGTGAGAGCTGAAAGCACTTTTTTACTTTCAATTTATTTGCTAATCGTTTGTACTTCGCTGCAGGTCCACATCGTGAGATGGCTGTCGATTGTCCAGATACGTTCATCGCGCGTAATAAGACACCACCACGTTATCCACCACCACACCGTCCACCACAGGTAAATAGTCTTAAGCTTGACGGGAAGTCAAGGAAACCATTCATGTCCGCAATGAAAAAGAATTGCACCAATCACTCAAATACCCTACCCAATAAGCACAAATGCATGCTAGCACACAGCACCCGCAATAAATCCAATACACTCACCTACACCAAAACGCACATTTCAAAACATTCAACACAGACGCTTAGCTCACTGAACGCACAATCATCTACCAGATTATTTTCCAAATCACAAAACTCACCGCCATCATCAACAACAACCGCATCATTATCATCGACTGATATTACCGCTTCACAAATACCAATACCAACAACACCATCACCACCACCTCTGCCAACCACTCCCCCACCCAAAATTCTAACTCACTCATCTCCAACAGACTTTGTACCCATCACTGCTTCAATAACCAACATCAATACTGAAACTAACCAATTCATAACACAATGTGTTGAAATATATAACGGTAATGGTAACAGACTAATTGTTACGTATCATTCTAAATGCGATTCACCAACACCACCACCACCACCACCACCACTTCCATTACTACAACAACCATCGACAACAATCACACAAACAACCACGACGACGTCAATCAATACTTCACCAACATTATCCACGAAATCCACAATG